TAAAACATCTTTTTAGGGGGAAAAAAACGTTTCATATTCTCTCATGTTAAAACAATTGTGTTGCTAAAAATTTATATTCATAAGTTTTAAAATCTTTGTAAAGCTTTAGTGGAGTCTTTCCAGATGTGCAAGCTGCCAATTCCATGGGCACTGCAGCCCCAATACCATGAGAGAGGCAGTACTTAAAAAACAAGCCGGGTGGTCCTTCTCTTTGGGAATAGAGCACAAATGTTTCAAAACTGAAAATTCTCTGACCTCAGGAGAGCTTTCCACTTTCAGTCCATTTTAAATGAGCTTTAGCCCAAAGAAGACAGCAGCATGACTGGATCGTGTTCATATATGGCTTCCTCTTTGTATGATAGAGCTTTTGTGCTCACAAACAGGGATTTCTGGAGGTGTTCCTGAGCCCATGCAGTGCTTTCCATCACAGAGCCAGGTCTGTTTTTAATGTGGTGCTGCCTGAGGGCCCAAAGATCACAGGCAAAGACCCAAAGGCATCCAGAACTGACTGATGGCTTTGTCCCTTGCGCACAGAGATTTCTCCAGATTTTCAGAGTCTTTTGATCATATTTTGTGGGGCAGATGATGAGATATTCAACCTCTGTCCATCGTCTGAGAAACTCTGTCTCTCTAAAATCCTCCCAGTCACATTACTGACCAGTTGCCACTTTTCCAGCCTTCTGTTGCCCGGGTTCCAAATTTTCTGAGACCTTAAATGGAATTCAGATCGAGCTGATATTTTTCTTAAAATATTCTTAAAATAATATTTCTTTTACTCAGCTGAAACTTTTGATGTGTTTTCTGTTTTCTATTGTGAATTAAACATATGAGATTTGCACATCACTGCATTGTGTGTTTTATTTACATGTCACACAGCATCCCAACTTTGTGTTTGCATGTGGCCGACATGAAAGCCACTGGATTCCTCTACAGCTAGTTCTTGTGTTGTAAGAACCAATAGTATAAACTTACGAGAAAGCTTGCTGTGCGTTTTCATTTTAATTTCAATTTCAATTTCAATTTTTTCTTCTTTCTACGCTGTTGTTGTGTCATGCTGATTTAGGCCCAGGGGCCAGAGAGTTCATTTTCATATTTTCTATTTGAAAATAAATAAATAAATAAGCAGGAAAAGCAATACCCCTCTGTTTTGCTCTTTATTTTCTGCTCGACGAGTGCCTTGGAACACCTTCCTTTTGATTTATGGCTTCGCTGTGTTTATCCTGCGTAGCTCAAAGGACAGGTCACAGATGAAAGCACTATCCACATATACTCTAATATCATACGTGCGGCTATTTATTTCAACAGGAAACACTGTTGAGAGCGTGACTCGTTACTCACCAGAACCTGCGGCAGCCTTGGGCAAAAGCCAGACAAAACGTTCTGCATTCACACCGGCACGCAGTGTTCAGGTCAGGCGTCACCAAGGACAGAAGGGCGCTGGGAGAAGAGATTAGGGAGCTGGGTACTCATAACAAAGCCTCGTTCTCTCTCAGAGTCAGAGAACTGCAATGGCTAAGAATCACATCTAGTCCTTGAGTGGTGATACTGCAGGCCGGCTGTCACCCAGCTCTAATATGTTGGCCATAAAGCAGCCACTAAGACCATCTTTGGAAAGTGAGAAAAAACAGAAAAACAAACCCAGCTTCATGTTTAAAATTCCAGCTTGTTGTAGATATTCTTTCTTCGCCAGAGGCATAAAACGCCTCCAATGGGGAGCAATTCAAAGAGAGAAAACATGACAGGGCTGGATGGAGGCTTTACACTGGGTTTTATGTCCGGGTGTGATGACGAACAGATCCTGCAGGAGGTACAGAGGTTTCCTGACAATTTTATGTTTGTATATCAGCAGGAGAAATTTAATGGTAGCAGCACTGATTCACACACTACTATCATACCTGCCTTATAAAAATTTTAGTGATGGTGAAACAAAGTTATGTGTAATGAAAACAGAGGAGAAGAGGACACGATAAAAATACAAAATTCAAACTGACAGCAGTCATTTCCATCAAACTTGGCTGATGATTTTATTAAAAATCTAATTCAAATTAGATAAAGCTTCTAAATAATTCCCCATAAGATTTTTAAGACTTGCTTCTAAGATATTTTTTTGGCTGTTTTGGATTTCTATAGAAAGCGTCACATGTGTAACCTTCAGTGTCTCTATAGCCAGTTTTGGAGGCTATTGCATAGCACCACAACCAGCCCTGCAGGGCCCCTCCTATGTGGTATCATAGGAGGGGCCAGGCCAAACCAAGCTCCATGGCTAAGGACCAGATAATCCTGCACCAGGTGAGGTGACTTCATTCCTTGCTATTCATCATAGAGATGCTTTGAATCACTTGTAGCCTGACCACACACCCGGGACTAATTTGCCTCTGGAGACCAGGGAAAACAGCCCCTGGGATCATTCGAGATCATGTCATTCAGGAGAGGCTCAGAGGAGAAAGGTGACTCACTGAAAAGAGCCAGCTGAGGTGGCTCGGGTACTGACTAGGACCTTACCTGGATGTCTGCTAAGAAAGGTGTTTTGGGTAGGCCCAACTGACCCAGTCACACACTGGACTGTTTATGCCTCTCCACTGGCTTGGTAAATCCTTGGTATCCCCATCAGAGGAGCTGACCAGGAAGTCTGCTCTAGTTAGGCAGCTGCCTCCATAATCTTGACCTGGATAAGTGACAAAAAAAAAAGATTGAAATACAGAAAATGAATATTATTTACTACATGGAGAAAGTATGAAACTCTTATAATGCACTTTATACTATACACATTAACGTTTTTTGTACCTATAGTATCTCACTCATACACCAGCGCTTGTTATACCAAAAATCAAATTAAACTTTATTTACAAAGCCTTAAACCTTCTTATTAAATTAATTTAATGTGTTTATAATTATTTTTTTTAACTGTTATGTTATTAATTGCATTCAATTGCCTGTATTTTTTATGCTAAATAAATGGAAATAATAACAGAAAAAATTAAACTCCACCTACATACTTCCGGACATCCGCCGACATCCGGCGGAAGTAAATTGAAACCGCTGGGCGTGTCACTAGCTGTGTCCCGTCAGCCAGTTAGCCGATGATACAACTATTTTCCTAAATAACCTGAATGAAATCCCCAAAGTTCTGCAGATTATTGAAACTTTCTCAAAAGCTTCAGGGTTAAATCTAAATTTAAACAAATGTGAGATCTTACCCTTAAATGATTGTACTATTTCTAACACTTTTAATATTCCTGTTAAATCCACTGTCAAATATTTGGGTGTGTATATAACCAAGAATAAGACTGATTTAGATAACCTTAATATTTGGGAGAAAATCCAAATTTGTAGAACTCATTTAAACAACTGGGCTCAGAGAGACTTATCGATTCTGGGTAGAATTTTTCTCACCAAAATGGAAAGTATCTTCAGGCTAGTATATCCTGCATATGCGGTAGGAGTGCCTAAATCAGCAATCAAATCTATTAACCAGCTAAACTTTGATTTTATAGGGAAATACAAAACCCACTATATTAGGCAAAGTAATTTAGTCAAACATTTTAAAGATGGAGGTTTGCAAGCTATTAAATTTGACAGCTTAAATGGCACCCTAAAAATAAATTGGCTTAGGTCATTTTTAAGAAGTCAAAATAGCCTTTGGTTTCACATTCCAAGCAAAATATTCTCAGATCTAGGCGGAATTAATCTTTTACTTAGATGTGATTTTGACATAAAAAAACTCCCCATAAAGCTCTCTTCCTTTCACCAGCAAGTTTTATTATACTGGAAATTAATATACAAGCATAACTACAGCCCACACAACACTCCCCTATGGAACTGTCGCTACATAAACATTGGAAACAAATCAATCTTTATAAAAAAATGGTACGATAAGGGCATCTGGTCAGTGATGCATTTGTTAAATGATAGAGGTAAAATCGTATTAGAAGATTTCACCACCAATTATAATCTGCAAATAAATAACAAAGAATTTAAAAAAATTACTAAGGCTATCCCTCAAAACATTCTATGTACAGCATATAATCTTTTTCAAAACCCTGACTATAGATCCCATGACCTCCCTGAACTCTTGGTAAATGGGCATAACATTACAGCTAACAGTCTAAAGAACTCCCAAATTAGGGAATTATTTACTAATGTTTTTTTCCCTTATAGATCCAATCCAAATTCCATCTCACATCTGTTCTCCGGTGATCAAAAGAAAGAGGTAAATTAAGGTAAAGAGAACTTCCCATTCCTCCCAAAGCTAAGGAGGTCCACTACAAAATCCTTTCTGGTATTTACCCTTCCAAAGAATTTCTCAGACGTCGCTTTGCTATTGATAATAATTCTTGCTCTTTTTGTGATGGGGATATTGAATCAACAGAACATTTATTTTATGATTGTATATTCTGTAAAGCCCTGTGGAACAATGTGCACTACTGGCTCTTTCCAAAGATTCCAAACTTACTTGAATTTTCTAAAAATTATATTATCTTTGGTTCTCTAAGAAAAGAAAAGAAGCTTGAAAATGTTCTAAATGTAATAATTATTATGGGGAAATTCTTCATTCACAAATGTTGTTTTCTGAAAACAAAGCCGTCCTTTTTTTACTTTTCACAAAGAACTCTGCCTCTTCCTCTCATCTGTTAAATTTATGGACAAAAAAAAAAGTTCTGATTCTGAATCATATGATTATTGAACTAGATCTGCTAGAAAACCCCTAAGGTATAACGTTTTTTTTTTTTTGTTTGTTTGTTTGTTTGTTTGCTTTGAATCTGTTTGGGGTTTGTTTTTATTTATTTGTTGGTTGTTGTTTGTACTTCCTGTTCATTATCTATCTTCTATATGTTGGAATTCAGCCTGTTCTGATACTATTTCATGTTGAGAAAATAGAATCTTTGTAGAGATTGCCATAATTGTTGTACATTTCTGTGCAAATGAAAAAAAAAACGGTTGGCAAAGAGAGGAAGTGACGTAAGATTTGCGGATGCGGGGTACCGATCGGGTTTCCGGTACGGATCGGGTAGTGACAGTAGCGTTAGCCTGTTATTGACCTTGTTGCGGATGGTTGTGTAGCCGATGAGTGTGGCAAATTGTTGCAGTAGCAATGTCTTCAGTTGGTGGGTGGAGGAGCGTCATTGGCGTGAGGCTGGATGGAGCATTTGAGGGAATCTTCACAGAGTTTGAAAGTAAAATGGAGCAGTGCGAGACAGAAGTGGAGCATCAGCGCAGACTGCTGGAAACCATCCGGAACCCCGAAATAAAGCTGCACAGAATAGGTGTGTAACACACAGCACGGCAGCAGGTGTGTTTCAGCAACATGTCACCTGGTTTAAGACAAGAAACGTTTCGTTTATGTCGGCATGTGGACACAGAGAGGGCTGACTGCAGAAAATTAAAAACACGTGTTTTTTGAATGGAGTTTGGTGTGAGTGCTGGAGTTAGGAAAACGTGAGCTTTTACAGGGGCTCATTCTTCTACTAGGAGTCAATAAAATATTTTTTTAAAGAGAAATATAACTTTTATGAAATAAAACCACACAGCCAAAACGTCCAAAAGTTGATTCTGTTCATCTGGACGAACAACTTTAAAGCATAATATTAATATATTATAGTATAATGTTCTGTTCAACCCCCTCTCATTTACCTGAAAATTTTATGGTTTAAAATTGGGACAGTTTTATGGTGAGAGAGAACTTCAGGCTTTTATTTCGAAAAGTTGTTGACATATACATGTTCAAACATTTTCTCAGATTTCAGTGTGTGAGGGGGAAATTGTGGACCATCAGATTTTAAAAATTGGAGATGGGCAAAATTGAATGGCCCTTGTGCTTCCAGACTTCCGTTTAGCTTGAAATTGCATTTGTGCCCTGCCCAGCAACAAGTGACGAAAGAGGAGTTAAGAAAATTGTAAGTCAACAGGAAACACCTGGAAGATGTGAGGGTCGAAACAAACTACCATATATGGTAAAATGTTGATGAAAACGAGAACTTGTCTAACTGTTTTTAGCTTTATTAGATGATTGAGTTGCCTACCGTGAGGCTTTGGCCTTCCGTCAAACACAGACTGTGAGAACTAATCTTGTCAAGCCTATTTTGAATAATATAGGCTTACCCGCATTGCATTCTCTACAACGGTCATCATCGTTATGCTTAGTGTATTACTAAGAAGTGTTTTGCTTGTAATAGCATACGTGCTTGCACATTGACAGCTGTCACTAACTGTAACTGATGCATGTTATGTTATCTACTTACGCATGAAGGGGCGTGGACCCTGACCCTTTTTTAACCAGGAAGAACACCGTGTGTGGTTGAGAAGTCTACAATTTTTTGGCTAATTCCTGGAAAATCACTTGCTTAATGGAAATGTGTTAGGAAGAACAGAAAAAGTCTTAAGAAAGGAGAAGTGCAGCGCTCAGAGGATCAGATCGCACTTACACTAGACTCGTCAACAGTGTTCTTCAGTGTTGAAACTACAATGTCCGCAACATGGACTACAAAATGAGCATGTTTTCAAACAGAAACACAATATGACAAAAACATATAAACACGTGAATGTTAAAGAACATGGAACATGTGGCTCATAAAAGGCAGTAAATATATTTTTCTTTCCTTTCCACATTTTCAAAGTTGTTCTGTGACTGAAATATTCCCTTCATCCATCACTTAGCCAGTTCAGGGTGTCTGTGGTGGCATATGCTGGCAATACAGCTTCTATATTGTATTGCCAGCATAACTCTAAATGCTGCAGTGCAGCAGCAGATATTGCTAATGCAAACCTATAAAACTATAGCTTCCATCCACTTTGATTATTTTAATACAGCTCATTATCTGGATTTAGAGGTTATATAAATTTATGTGAAGGCGAGAAGAAGCAGGTGTTATTCTTTCAGTGGTGTCCAGTGTCTCCTCTGCTAAAGGAGGCAATAAAAGAAGCAGTGAAGCGCCTTTCCTTAATATTTAGAGAATGCAAACAGCTCTCATTATTAGCCAAGCAAGCTAAGCAAAACAAACTATTTGACAGCACCCCTGTTGTTAGCCTTGAGTAACACATTATCTTTACTTCACCTGAGGCTTTTCTCTAATATGTGCCTCCTCGTCTCCTCCGTCCCTCTGGCTGTGACCCGGAAGTTAATGGCAAGAAGTAATGTTGAAGGATTCCTCAAATCCTGAAATGTATCAGGAGGACAGAGGAGAAAAGAGACTGCTGGAGGAGCAATAAGCAAGGATGCACAGGTGCAACCTGTACAGGAGGAGGAGGACTCTTTGAACACCCTCACTGTGTCTATACCCCTCACACTGCACCATTTTAATTAAGGTGGCCCTAAATATAAAATTATATTATATCTTATTATATTACCCGTTGTTTCTCTTCTTTTATCCCCTCCTCACCACCTCCCGTGTTGGCATGTTTGTTAGAAGGAACTAAGATCTCTTCCACTGCCTCATAAGGGTTTGTAGATGGGTATAGTGTGATCCACAAGCACACAGTAAGATTTGCAAATGCGCACTCTAATCCACACACACATTTTGACAATGCCTAAAACTATTTTACAATGAATAACAATATTATATAAATAACAGTCTAACCTTTTAAGTTTATTGTGACAAATCGGATCATTTTGTCTTTCCAAACCTTCCTACAGAGAGTGTAAAACTACATGTAACATCCCCCTCGCTCACTTGCAAAACCTTAAGTACAGGTGCACCAGTGGATGCGCAAGGATCCACTGGTGCAAGCTGAGTTCAAGTCCTAGCGGAAAACTGGGACACCTGGGTTCTTCTCTATACCTGCATTTTTTGTGTGTTTGTTTGGGGAGGGGAGGGCAAATGTCTCTCCACACGTCACATCCCAACTAACGATCTGCTCACGTTTTGCCTCGTGTCCCTTTGTGCCTGTAGACCAACGCTGTATCTGTACAAAGAAGGAAGAGGAAATCTCTATCCAGGAGAAGAACGCCAGTCTGGATCCAGAGGATCAGAAACCTTCACTGATTAAAGAGGAGCTGGAGGAGCTGTGTATTAGTGAGGAAGGAGAGCAGCTTGTGCTAAAGCAGGAAAGTGATGCCTTCATGGTGACTCCTGTTTGTGAGGGCAGTGCCGAGCTTCTGTCCTGTTTTGTACCTGAGAGTCGAGAACAGGAAGGAGTCAAATGTGAAAACTCAGGAATGCCCTTAAAAACGGAGCCAAAACCAAAGAAGGTCTGTAACAACACAGATGAAAACACACAAGTCTGCAGGAATAGTTTACAAATAAAAGAACTGTGTGGTACTACTAATAATAATATAGATGGGAAGCTTTACTCCTGCAGCTCCTGCACGGAGACATTTGAACATGAATCAACGCTTAAAAATCACCTACAAATCCACGCAGACGATGAGTCGTATTCCTGCATGACATGTGGGAAGGTTTTCAACTACAGCGCTTCCTTCAAGCTCCACTTGAAAGTCCACACGGATGAGAGGCCATACTTCTGTGAGAAGTGCGGCAAAACGTTCAGAAGAAACGATAAGCTGCGGCTGCACATGAGAACGCACACGGGGGAAAAGCCGTACCTCTGCATCACCTGCGGAAAAAGGTTTAACGACCCGTCGGCGTTCAGGAGGCACACGGCCATACACACTGGCGAGAAGCGGCATTCTTGCAAAACCTGCGGCAAACGTTTTGCCCACAGCAACAGCTTCCTCTGCCACATGAGAACCCACACGGGTGAGAGGCCTTACCTCTGCACCACCTGCGGGAATAGATTTGTCAACGCCTCAAAGCTTAAAAGGCACACGAGGACACACACGGACGAGAAGCCTCACGTTTGTAACACCTGCGGGAAGAGGTTCATTCGCCTTTCCAGGTTGACGAGTCACACGAGGATTCACACGGGCGAGAAGCCGTACTCATGCCAAATATGCCAGAAGGACTTCGCTTACACCACTTCCTTGAAGGTCCACATGAGAGTTCACACAGGCGAGAAGCCATACGTTTGTGAGAAATGTGGGGAAAGTTTTAGTCAGGCGGGGAGCCTAACCTCCCACATGAGAGTCCACACAGGCGAGAAGCCGTACGTTTGTGAGAAATGTGGGGAAAGTTTCAGTCAGGTGGGGAGCCTAACCTCCCACATGAGAAGTCACGCAGGTGAAAAAAAGTCCTGAAACACCTGTGAGGAGAAAATATGAGAGAAAATGAGTTGATTAGGTTTAGGTTTAAAGAGGGTTGTGTAACTTTACTGTGCGTTATACTGTACATGATGAGCCTGCCATTAGATTCAAGTCTAATGTTGTGTTAATGTGGTGCGTCAGCGGTAATGCTCCAAGTGATCGAGTTGCACTGCGGGACGCAGCAGAGGACAACAAAAAAAATGGCTTCAAGGTCAGAAAATTGAAGCCTGCAGTCTTTTTAATGACCAGCAGGAGGCGAGTCCTCTGGGTTGTATGGAATTTATTGATTTATGATATCAATGAACGCTTTCCTGTTCGTTTCTGGACTCGAACGCTGGTTTTAGGTCATATTTCATAAAACAGATGAGGATTAATAGAGTATATGTACTGTCTGAAATCCTGGGCAGAAGCTACCCCACTTGTTTCAACACCAAGATGGTGAAAACCAGCTTGAGGCTTCGTGACATGATGTCATGGTGGATACATCCATCTTTTAGATGCAGTTTGTGGGGGCATCTTTTTATGATGAAATCCTTAAAATCTGAGAATTCACCAGCACTTCTGAAGCATTTCATCTCTAATTGTGATATATGTATGCGGGATTATGTGTTAGTCTCTCGTGTATATTAGAGGACTACAGATTTGTTATTAATAAATAATATAAGATGGGAAGGAGTGATGAAATGAGAGGCCAGCTGGCTTTTGTGGTTCATCTGAATCAGTTGAAATCTGAAAAATCGACCCTGCCAGTTTTTGTTTTTCTTCTATTTTTAAAGGATTTTTTTTTGTAAACAAAAAAAATAGTCTCAAAGAGTGTAAAAGACAATAAAAATTCTTTTCAATACAAATATCTTTTTTGTTTTCAATTATTCAAACATCACTTCCCAAATTACTGGATCAAATGATTATTGGACACCTACCTGTGACTGACATCAGATTACATACAATAATTAATAGGAGACGGCGTGCTTGGTAAATTTGTAATTGTTATATGAAGTAGTGTTTTGATTATTTTATGATCTTAACTTAATTGTTTCTGGTTTTCATTAATAGCTGGAGTTAACTAGCTAGCTTGCTATGGCGAGGTTCACCTGCCACTATTGATTAAACACAAACTTTTACTACCTTACAGTGCACATGATGGACATTCAGAGACAGATGTGACTGCTGTCTGAAGCCACTCTGTACAGCCAAGCCACCTGCAGCAATGGCTGCTGTGTCAGATTTTCATTGTCCCATCCCTCTTATCCATTTTTAAAGCTCCTTCTGACTTCATGGTCGTGGCAAGACAATGATTATTGGGACAGCTAGTAAAAACAATTTAAAAGTCAACTTCAACTTGACACTTTTGCTTATTAATTACACTTCCACACAAGGTATTGAGGTGATATTCAACTGAATCTCTTTTTATTCAAGCATTAAGGAAATGTACACAATTCATTGGAGATATTTAAGGGAAATAAACACTAGACTCATGTCTGGGATAATAATGCTGATTTCAAGCAAAAAAACTAAAAAGCCAATAAAAAACATACCTGAGGACAGAGGTGTGTACGGGTGAATACTGAGTGGAAGCAATACATGAAATGTACGTGATTGAGGAGCTGACCTAAAACAAAATCAATTGGTTGCATTAAATATACGCTCACCGGCCACTTTATTAGGTACACATGTTCAGCCACTTGTTGAAATAGATTTCTAATCAGCCAATCACATGACAGCACCTCAATGCATGACCTCCTGATCAAACAGCATCAGAATAAAGGAGGTGATTTAAGAGACTGTAAAAGCATCATTATTGTTGGTTCCAGACAGGATGGTCTGAGCATTTCAGAAACTGCTGATCTGCTTTTTATTATTATTTTATTCAAACCTTGAAGCAGATGGACTGCAGCAGCAGAAGACCACACCAGGTGCCACTCCTATCATCTAAGAACAGGAAGTGAGGCTAATTCCTTGGGTGAAGGTGGGTGGATTGTTCCCTGGCTCTTGCAGTCCACATGCTGAAGTATCTTTAACCAGGACTTTGAACCCCAAGTCGCCCTGACGGTTTCACCGGAGTGTGACTGTTAGTGGCCAACAAAGTGCGTGTGCATTGATAACAGTACTGTATAAACTTCGAGATTCCCCATCATATGAGCATGAACCAAATGTCTTCATGCTTAATCTATCCTATGAAGAATTACAGCAGTTCAATGAAGTGTCGACTCAGTGAAGTGTCCAGTGAATGTGTCTGCAACATACTCAAGTTATTTTCTTCACATTCTTCTTCTACTTAGAGTTTCAGATTATTTCGTTAATATGAAGGACAGAATCTGTGAGATGATAAAATATTTTATGAACACTTGGATATGTATTCACTAAATTGTGCCCGGGCTATAACTGTGCATATATTTGCCTGGCCTGGTCCTTGCCTGGCACTTATTTTCAGATGCAGCAACAGCCTCCCTCTCCTCCACCTTCCTTTTTCAGCAGGTGACTTGTCCACGGTGTAGACAAGCATGCAGATAATTGCCGACTCACTCCTGTTTACCTATAATATCAGTGCTCAAGCTGACAGTTCATCACAGGCCAAAACAGCCCTCTGGCCACCAGGACATGTCCTGGTGTTCCCCACAGGCCACCGATCCTTATACTTTCACTACACATCACTGGAGGATCAAGTCGAATCAAAGCCCCCCTCCACTTGTTGTTGTGCTGGAGAAATAAACATTCCTCTCTGCTTTTGTAATCCTTAAACCTGTTTTTATCCTCAAGAAAAAAACTGCTCAAAAACTGCTTACTGCCTGCCTGTGATTGCTTTACCGTCTGCTTTAACTGCCTGTTTGGTAAATCGTGGTCTGCTGAGCTATTAATGGTTTGTTGCTGTGCTCATATTCTCAGCTAATTTACCTGTGGATCCATTTGTGTTTCAACATTCGGGCATTTGCACTGCAGAGCTGTAGACGCACAAAAAATAAAGGCTGATAAATTTATTTCATGATAAAGTAAGAATAAAAGAAATGACGATGTTTGGAGACAATGAGGGGAAATGCTGGGCTTATAGACACACACCTTCTAACAGAGTGCCGATTTCCTGAATTAAAAATGTGCATTTCTTTGAAAGCACTTTCATCTCAAAATACCAGCAGTCAGCAGCTTAAGTTCACCCACATCAGTGTCAACCATCAAACACCGGTGTGGGTCCAACCCCGTGTCAGCTCCTGAAATCTTTCATTAAATAAATCGCCCATAATTTCAATGCTTCCGGCCTTTGCCAGATCAAAAGGCAGAGCGTGGATTTCATCGGGATAAATTATTCAGTGCATCCTGTGACAGGTGGAGCTGTGGGACAACAAAAAAAGGTACACACCTGTCATCCGTCTTGTTAAATATGAACAAATTGCCCTCTGTTTATGAACAGCGTATAGGACCTTGAGTCAGACTTGTGGGGATGTACCGCTTCCCTCGGCAGAATACTAAGCAAGGATTTTGGGTGTGTGAACATGGGCACAGTGGATTAGCATGGAAACAACACTGGCAACATCCACTAAAAACAATCCCTGCAGAGCAATTCAGAGTCATGAAGGGAAGCGTATCAGCAGCAACATGCACAAACACACATGCACTGCACATACAGGCCCCAACAAAGGCTATATACAGGCCATCAGCCCCACCACACACACACACACACACACACCAGTCTTGCTGGCAGTAATCAGAGTGCAGTGTGTTTTTCACAGCGGTGTAATTCATCAAAGTGACGGCTGCCAATGAGTCTCAGTCAGCCAGACAGCCACAGCTAATCAATCATCAATCTACCTGCTCTTTGTCTGCAGCCACCACTGCCATATTTCACGACACACACATACATTTATACACACAGTCTCCCTTTGTATGGTTGCCTTCTGCAGCTCCTTGTCCAGATCACTGTGTAGAGCAAGGCACTAACACGACCAGGGTTAGGAGTTTAATTCCCTCACTAAGCCGACTTGAGAGAGAAAGTAATTAAGCGCCCATCGTGTTTATTGAGGAAGACAGATGGGCGTTACATTAGTCTGATTTTATGAGCTCATATTTAATATCTTTAAAGGATTAGCCTCATGATGTTCTTCTTAGCTTATGTTAGCATAAAAATACAATTTGTCTGATTAACCTGTAAACAGACAGAGTGGGGCTGCAGGGGAACTCACAGGAAGTGAGTCTACAATGCAAGATTCAATAATCACACCACAGGAATTTCTGCTTAAAGGTGCTTACTAGAAATGTTTCCATAAGGTTGAGGTGTTTTGCCAAGAGTTTTTAGTAGAATAGAATATAATGGAAAAGAATAGAACTTTATTGTCTTTATACATGTACAATAAAATTGTGGGTGCTATACACCAGCTGTGCCAGAATCAAATACAAATTGTAGACAGCAGGAATAAATAAGAAATATGGGAAATGTATGCAAAAATAAGAGAAAGACACACATTTAAGAACAAGTTCAAAGTGCTTGGAGAGCAAAGAAAAGACTTGGTCTATATAGAGTCTGTGTGTGTGAGTGAGTGGCCTGAGTGATGAGGGTTACTCGGGCCATGGATCAGATTGGTGAAGTAGGTGGGCAGGGGTGGGGTGTGGGGGCATAGTGTTTGTTAACAGTCCAAATGGCCCAGAAGGCAGTGATCAGGCAGGTGGTGGGTGAGGTGCAAGGGGTCATCCATCAGAGATGAGCCGAACACCGTGGTGTCATCAGCATACTTGACGATGATGCTGGTTGGGTGGGTTCGTGTGCAGTCATAGGTATACAGGGTGTAAAGTAAGGGACTGAGAATGCAGCCCTGCAGAGATCCGATGCTGAAGGACAGTGGGGTGGGAAAGGTGGAGGTCAGATCGGACTGATTGAGGCCGGTTTGTGAAGAAATCTCCAGGAGCAGGTGACAGTGCTGAACTGAAGGTTGTCCAGTTTGGTGTTGAGGATGTCTGGGATTACGGTGCTGAAAGCTGAGCTGAAGTCCACAAAGAGCATCCTCACATAGCTCCTGTTCTCCAGCTGGCTGAGCGCTCTGTGAAGGGTGATGGACCAATTTACTCTGTAGGGGGTGCAGGGGAGGGGTGGTATCAAACCAAGCAAAGACAGAGCCTGGATTTCACTAGTCAGCCAAGGTTTTCGGTTATGAAAAACCCAGATGGTTTTGGTTATCATCACACTTTCTACACAGCACTTAATGTAGAAAAGGACATACTGAGTGAAGGTCTCTGCTGTTCAAAGGACCCGTAAGGCTGACCACCTTGAAATTTAGAACTTTGTTGGAATTTTTCAACTGAATTCAATTCAGTTTTATTTATATGGCGCCAACAACAGTCGCCTCAAAGCGCGTTTACTTTGTAAGGTAAAGACTGTACAATAATACAAAGAAATTTTAAGATGATGTTGTGAACTTGTCGCTTACTGTGACTAAAAATGTAAAACTGTGTTTTTACTTGGGAAGCAACAAATTACAGATACTTTGTTTCTGTACTTAGGTAGAATTTTCTGTACTTTAATTAAATGCTTATTTTTCTAACTAGAGAAAAGAAAGCATGCTAACTTCACTCAGATGGAGAAAGATGTAAGAAAACAGGAGAGGAGGAGGAGAGGTTATATTTAATGATAAGGCCTGCTCAGTGGCATTTGATAAACTTCAGATTTAATGACATGTTATGTCGCCATTTTTTATCACATATTGGACCTTTATAGGATGCGTTTTGATAAATTATGTTGATTAAATTATAAATTATGAATTTTCATATTGTGAAATGCACAACAAACTAAGCTGTACTGACTTTGTGTTATTCAAA